CATGGATGATGTTATATTCAACACTGTCCGTTAAATATCTTATGAACAACTGGATGGATTTTAGTGAAAAACTCATTAACATTTGGAGTAAACACTATTCAAAATGGTCATGGCAGCTAATTAACAAAGACAGAACATTAGTTATGTAAGTTAATTGTACAGATAATGAGCTTATTTTGGTGTGCCATTAGCTGACAGTCATCCCCGTCACATACTCTGAATGCTAACACATCCTGTGAGACCTCACAACATTTCATAAAATCACAAATAATGTTATTTATATATAAGATTTGATCAAAACAGCTACAACTATGAAATCTTTAATTTATTACATACAGCGACAAACGTCCTGTTTGTGATGATCCTGTAGAATCAGTAATGAATGACTGTGTTGGTGCACATTGTTTACCTGTGCTGACAGCAGTAAAGCAGTGTGTGTGTGTTGTTCTGTATCAGCAGCAGCAGCRGCAGTAATGCTTTGGCTCTTGTTGCAGTAGATGGGCTCTCTAAACAGCGCAGCACCTTCAACACCGAATCCTGCAGGACAAAACACACAAATGAATCAAGTGAAGGTTCAGTGTCTTCCACTGTCAGAGCACAATGCTTCTGCAATTCAATTCTCTTCCATTAGAGTTAAACAACAAAAACGATTTTCAATGTTTACACAGTAGAATTACAGCAAAGCTGATATTGAATGAAAAAAATACACACTTTTATAGATATTGCTTCAAAATTGTATATAATTATTTTTAAAAAGCACTGAAAACTAACAAAAAACACAACACTTTGTCATACAATAAGCACCATCCACTTGTGTGTCCACAGCTGGTTCAGACAGCAACTCAGCAAGTAGGAAAAAAAATCTGATTCATTAGCACCATTATTATCACCAAACACAACTGAATGTGTGTGTATGTGTGTGCGTGCGTGCGTGCGTGTGTGAGAAAGCATGTTTATGCCTGTGTGTTTATGGTGCGACACACCGAGTTAATTAATTTCAAAGCCCTACAGTGTGTGCTTAGCTGATAAGTCCCTCCCCACTACCCATAATGCTTTGCTGAAGTGGACGGCTGCAGCGTTTTCATTCAGCCAATTAGCCCAAATACTGACACACTCAACAAATTAGAGTTTGTGCTTCTGTGCGCACACACGCAGCACTGTTCACATATTCATAAGCACAAGCACACATCCACACACTAACAGAGTTCTCTGTAAACAAACTCTTGGTCTGTCTGTCTTTGTGCCAGGGGAGAGCAAGGAGGGTGAGGTTTGGGGGTTGTGGGGGGGAGGGGGTGAATGCATATCAGTTTATAATTAGAGCAGAGTTGAAGTACGAAGTTATTATTCTACTGTTAAATTGGAAATGCTCAATGCAAATAAATTCAGTTCAGAGTCAATTACCAATTCTGGACTCCCAAGTTAAAAACCCTCAAATCAATTTCAGCCCCTCTGCTTTACCAAGATTAGCACATCACATGCACACTAGATGGGATGCCTTGTGAAAAACTGAATAAGTAATTCCTGACAAATTAGTTCATTCACAGTTCAGCTTCAGTTCATGAACTGTGTGATCGAGGCACGCTGAGAAAGACAGACAGAAAAAGAACAATTATTTGTTTTTCAGACTGTATTTTGCTGACGAGGGTTTTTTTTCTGCACAGTCATCACATAAAATGTTCTCAACAATGGCATTACTAACAAAACCTCTAAAAATCAAACTACACTTATTAGAGATGCCACCATAACAACTACCCATCATGTAGCAACAATATCAGCAGTACAACATTAAAGTAGTATAGCTGTGTGCGTGTGGTTCTTTTCTTAGCTGACTTGTAGTCTAAAAGAATTGGACATCTGTACATCTGTTCTTGTATTGCAGATGTGGTTCAAACGCACATACCCGGTTCTGTGTGATGTGATGTGTTAGGATGTGTGAAGCGAGTAAGGCTGCGGCCACAGCAATGAGCAGGTGCTGCTGCACCCTGGCCCCTGCTCCACCTACACCCTCCAAGATGGCTGCGGGGCCACAGGTGTCAATCACTGACAAGAAGACTGCCGGGTCCAACCGGGTTAGCCTTGAAAGAGACTGGGGAAATAAAAAAAGAAATAAACCTGCTCATAGCGAGGTAACGTTACAGTAAGTCATTCATGAATTGTAATCTTATTCTGCTGTAAAGAGCACAGTATAAAGCACCTCAAGCTTCTTTTGTTGAATGGTTAAAAATAAAGCAGAGTCCATTTCATGCAATAAAAAACCTACAAATGCTGTCCTAATTGCCTCACCAGATGTTAAAGTAATTAATATAATTCAGAATGTGACAGTGAGAAAAAATCTGGAAATCAAAGGGATCGATTACCATAATGTAACTAACAAGAAAGGAAGTGCGAAGTTGGAATTTATTTATAATTTGTGGTTTAGGCTGAGTGATGGAGGGTTTGTTTTAGCATTAAAGAAAAACATGTCAGTCTAAATGACGATAGAAATATTTTGGCCATCTTGAAGTGAGGTTTTGCTTAAAACATGTGAAGAAATAATATTGTAGTGTTGTGAATAGCTCTCTGAGACTCAAATTAGTTTGAAGGAAATTTTTTGAAAAAATCTGTAAGACTTCCCTATACTTTTGAATACAGGCAGAATTAGAGAAAATCCATGTAATTTACAATCGGTACAACTTGACATGTCTGCAGCCCTCCACAATGCTCCTGCAGGGTGTGACACTAATAAAATAACATTTTACAAGAAATAAAACATATCATTGCAGTTTTAAAAATGTATGAATCCCTCTAATCTGCCATCCTATTTTTTTTTAGTTGATGTCCAGAGCTGCAGAGGCTAATATTTATTTTATTCCCCTTTCTGAATCTTTCCCCAATTGCAATATTTGCATGAAAGCTATTACAATTAATGTGATTTTGTATTTCTTTGAAATCTTTGACAGTGAAAAGGAGAGCCTCCTCAGGACCTCTGCTCACCTGGTTTCAGTCTCACCTGAATGCTGAACATCCACAGCAGGCGGTGCGGCTGGAGATTGGTCAGATGTGTTGCGTGATTTGATTGACAAATTATTAAAAGTTTTTTTTTAAAGTTGATGTTAAAGTATCACATCGGCATTCAAGTTAAGTGTGCAACAAAAAAGTTCATAAAACAAATAAAAGTTCAACAAAAAATATATATTTTTAAATTTGCCCAGGCTAGAAATAGTCATGTGGCTCTGGAGCTGTGGGTTTCCTCTGTTCTATTAAAAACACCAACTCCTTGCAACTCTGAATTTTGTTGTTTGCTTTGCCTCCATCAGTGATGCACTGAAGGACATTTTATAACTTATTGACTAAATATTAGATCCAGTATTGTATACACATAAATTCTGGTCATTGCAGCCATATGGTTTAAAACAGAGGATGAAATTTGGTGTGTCCTATTGATGTGTTCTGTCCGTATAAACAGAGGTGCATGTACAGTGGTTTGCAAAAGTATTCATACCCCTTGAACTTTTCCATATTTTGTCACATTACAACCACAAACATAAATATATTTCACTGGAATTTAATGTGAAAGACCAACACAAAGTGGTATACAATTGTGAAGTGGAAGCAAAATTTTACATGAATCAAAACATTTTTTACAAATAAAAAACTGAAAAGTGCGACGTGCAAAAGTATTCAGCCCCCTTTTCCCTGAGTGCAACCAATTGCATTCAGAAGTTGCCTGATGACTGCTAATGACTCAAAAGGGTCCACCTGTGTGTAATCTAATCTCAGTACAAATACAGCTGCTCCGTGACGGCCTCAGATGTTGGTTAAGAGAATATTGGGGAGCAAACAGCATCATAAAGTCCAAAGAACACACCAGACAGGTTAGGAATATGGTTTTGGAGAAGTTTAAAGCAGGCTTAGGTTATAAAAAGATTTCCCAAGCTTTGAACATCTCACGGAGCACTGTTCAATCCATCATCCGGAAATGGAAAGAGTATGGCACCACAGTAAACCTGCCAAGACAAGGCCGTCCACCTAAACTTACAGGCCGAACAAGGAGATCACTGATCAGAGAGGCAGCCAAGAGGCCCATGGTGACTCTGGATGAAATGCAGAGAGCCACAGCTCAGGTGGGGGAAACTGTCCACAGGACAACAATTAGTCGTGCACTACACAAATGTGGTCTTTATGGAAGAGTGGCAAGGAGAAAGCCATTGTTAAAAGAAAACCATAAGAAGTCCCGTTTGCAGTTTGCCAGAAGCCATGTTGAGGACACAGCAAACATGTGGAAGAAGGTGCTTTGGTCAGACGAGACCAAAATTGAACTTTTTGGCCACAATGCAAAACGCTATGTGTGGCGGAGAAAGAACACTGCACATCACTCTGAAAACACCATCCCCACTGTCAAATATGGTGGTGGCAGCATCATGCTCTGGGGGTGCTTCTCTTCAGCAGGGACCGGGAAGTTGGTCAAAGTTGATGGGAAGATGGATGGAGCCAAATACAGGGCAATCTTGGAAGAAAACCTGTTGGAGTCAGCAAAAGATTTGAGACTGGGGCGGAGGTTCACCTTCCAGCAGGACAACGACCCTAAACATAAAGCCAAAGCTACAATGGAGTGGTTTAAAAAAAAGAATATTCATGTGTTAGAATGGCCCAGTCAAAGTCCAGACCTAAACCCAATTGAGAATTTGTGGCAAGATCTCAAAACTGCTGTTCACAAACGCTCTCCATCCAATCTGACTGAGCTTGAGCTGTTTTGCAAGGAGGAATGGGCAAGAATTGCAGTCACTAGATGTGCAAAGCTGGTGGAGACATACCCTAAAAGACTTGCAGCTGTAATTGCAGCAAAAGGTGGCTCCACAAAGTATTGACTCAGGGGGGCTGAATAATTTTGCACATCGCACTTTTCAGTTTTTTATTTGTAAAAAATGTTTTGATTCATGTAAAATTTTGCTTCCACTTCACAATTGTATACCACTTTGTGTTGGTCTTTCACATTAAATTCCAGTGAAATATATTTATGTTTGTGGTTGTAATGTGACAAAATATGGAAAAGTTCAAGGGGTATGAATACTTTTGCAAACCACTGTAAGTGGTGCACAGGTGCTCATGTGCGATCAAAATATTTTTTTAAAAAAGTGCACCAGATGGAATGTCATAAGGCTCACTTGTGTACCTAACATTCTACTGAAGATTGTGAAATCAACCCAGCAGGGCTCTAGAGTGCAACCAATTTGGTCGCAAATGAAAACTGATTTCTTAATTAAAATAAAAAAATCCAGTCACACTGGTGCGATCAGTCATTCAAGGAGGGTGGCGGGACCCGCTGTAGCAGGGTGAAATGGACACAGCTTTCAAAAAAATCAAATAAACCCCAGAGCCGTTTTATCCAATCAGAGCAGAGCAGGGCGGGACTTTCAGTGAGGCCAATTTGCAGCAGAAACAAATTGCAGGTTAAAGCAGCGGCCGACCAGTGGTCAGTCCTGAGTTAGTGGACCTCTCCTTCAGCACCGGAGACTTTGGTCTCTAAAACCTAATTTATATTAAATCTTTATGTTCAAAGCGTTCATTATCAAACAGATATGTCCAACTTTGCCTACGTGACTAAACTCTCTCCTCGTGAGAAAGCACTGTGACAGGAGCACGCCGTGGTGCGTGCAGGCTGTGAGTCTGTGTGAGATTCACTGTTTCAGTTCTTCTAATTAAACTACACTGACTCGAACAGAAGAACATTTGTTTGCCCCATATTAAAGCAAAGATGAGTCTCCGTTTAATGTCACCCCACGTCCAAAAATTAAGAAAACAAAACAAAAGACCATGTTCTCTAGGTGAATGAGTTTTAAATGTTATTTATCATAAAGATCCACAAATTTCATTCTTCACAATTTTATAGAAATAACAAGGTTTTGGACATGCTAAGCTTGTTTATATTTAGAACCATACTCTGACACAACTGCTCTGGGATGAAAGTAATTCAATAAATGATCAAATATGAGGAATACATAATTTTAAACGAGTACATGAGCTACAAATTATCTAAATAAAACAATATTTTTGAATGAAATATTATTTTAAAAAAGAAATCAGTCAGTCTAACAAATAAAACATTTGTTGTTTTAAGTTATTTTGTGCTGTGCAAAAGACAGATATTTGCTGTTTGGATTTTGATGCTAGGGCAAGGCCAAAGATCCAGAAGGCCAAACTACAGGAGCTGTCCATCTGAAGGGCATGTGTAGTCTAAAATACATTTAACCATGAAATGTTCAGTTTGAGATGTTTATGACACATGCCCATGGGTCAGCCCCTCGGCCACGTAGGTAGTTTACAAAATTTATTCAGAGCAAAAATAAATAAATAAATAAAAACTCTCGGTGGACTGAAGATTGGCATAACGTCCTGAGACGTTGCCAGCTGATAAAGGGAGAAATCATACAAAATCATAAAAGTGTTAAATGACTTAAGGAAAATGTGAGCACCAAGAGATTCAACTGGTTTTCTGCTATATTATTCACTTCCATTTATTGATCACAAATTCCCTTCAACACACTATATATCCTCATTTCAACAGGGTGGTCCTCACCACAGCTGCACCTGTTATTCTTTGTGCAAACAATCTTAATACACATGCAACACATCCAGTTTAACACGGACTATTTTTTTTAATTTGCGCAAATATTTAGTACTGATTTGCAGTCTTGATAAATCAGCTCCTAATTGCTACAATTGTTTCCAAAACCCCACTTTAAACTGGTCTGACTATCTTAGAGCTTGTTTCCAAAACCCCACTTCAAACTGGTCTGACTATCTTAGAGCTTGTTTTTGTTCCTGGTTTATATTCAAGGTTCCACATGCATGCATTTAAAGCCATTATTTCATTTGTATAACTTACTTTAGCTTTTGTGTTTTTCTTCTGTTACAGATGGTAGATGGCATGTCTAACTGTGTGAATGTTGTTAGCACATGAACTTACAGAGATGGCAGTGACTCTGACAGCCTCCACAGTGGAGTGGGTGAACAGGTACCACAGGGCAGAGCCGAACTCTGTGGTGGCCAGGTGATGGGAGAGGCCAGATGTGGTTGTAGAGATGTTCTCTACGGCTTTTGCAGCCATATGATGAACTACAGCATCATCCTGCAAGACAAATAGATCATCACTTATGCAAGTTGATGAACGACGTTAGAAGTTGAAAATGACATCTGACAAAATAAAATAGTTTTTAATAAAAGAGTTTTAAAGAAGTTTTAAAGAAAACCAAATAAACAGTTATGCTTCATAGTACACAATTTATGATTTCAGTCAGAATTTATTCTAATCAAATGAAGCGTGAGTGAGATATGAGTTTTAAAATACAGATGTGAATTTGTACACGAATCCTAGTTTAGCACATCCTTAGGTCAAGTTTTTTTTAAATAAACTGCTATAATCATGGCACATTTTTTGCCAACCCAAACTTGATTACCGGAAAAAAAAAAAGAGATGGAGCAAATAGCAGAAATTCACAAAGAACCAGAGTAATCACAAAAATAAAATTCAATTAGTTTGGGACATCATCTCAACAAAAACTGCAGAAGTGGTTGCATCAGCATGTATTAGTGTTCAAGTGTTTGTGTGTGTATGCTTTATGGATGCTGTATGGACCCACATGCCTTACACTCAGTGGGGAATAGCTGTTTCTGTCCAGACAATAGGGACAAGCTAATGAAATTTTGTGGCTGAGGAAATTAGTTTTTTTTTCTTCAGAAAATGCATTGTGGAGAAAGACAGGAAGTACAACAGAAGTGATTGCCTCTGTCAGTTTATTATTGTGTTTCACTGTGTTACATCACTAAGACACCATTCTCCCTGGATAGGAGACACAATAATATCTATTCCCAAAAAAAGTTCACCTATATTTTATGGAAAATGTTTATATTATTAGCTGTGCCATAATTACACCACAGTGATTTACCACAATGCTTGTGGCAAATATATTTCACACCAAACGCATAAAGCTCTTTGTGTAAAAAGAAACAAATAGCACAAAGAGAAAATTACATGAAAGTGATGCAACATCAAACACACAGCAGCTGATATGTAAATATTAGAAACATATATTTTTAATACTCTCATTTAACCTAAAACTGTCTCTATAGTGTAGTTTGTTCACATATCTCCTGCATCAGAAGTCAGCTTGAATTCCTGTCTACTGTAAAACATTAAGGTAAAACGTTAACACATAATGCACTTCTCTGCTGCCTGCCTACAATGTTTCAAGCTTAGAGTCAAAACTACTAACTTTGGATGTTTATAGTAGGAACTGATTTCATCCAAAACTGGTTTCAGTCTTCAATTCTCATTTCTGGATCAGCTTTTGGGCTGAAGTCACAAATTCAAGCTCCAAAATCTGGTGTTGTTATAGATTACATACTGGTTTTATTTTGACTGCTGCCTTCTGCAGGAGTCATCACAACAACACAAAATACATGATAGATTTGGTAATTATTTTACAACAAATGCCCTGACGCTACCTGGGCTAAGGGTTACAAAATCACATCACAGATCACCAAGCTACCACAGAGGAGGTGATAATCTCAGCATTTCAGCCAGAGAGACAGACTGCCAGCTGTAATGAGAGCAGTTTACTAGCTTAGTGTTAATAAACTAGTTTTGCTAAATACAATGACTGATAGTGCTGTGTTGTAATGCTACAAAAAGTAACTAAATTTGATTGGTTAATTATTTCTTTGTTGTAACAATGGTTCTTGGCAATAAATCTTATAGCGGGCGCCTGATTGGCAGCACCTGGAGATATCAGAAGTTTAAAACAAGCGTCAGTAACAGAAGCAAAATAAACTACTGGGCAGAGAAGATTTGGCAATTTTTTCATGTGCACAACCCACATACTCAACTCTACTGCTCAGCCCACAAATGCATGTTCCTTACAAATGTGGCACCATTTAAAAGAGAAATGAACAGACTTTCCAACTTTATAAGATTTATTGCCAAAAAGAATTGTTACAAAAAATAATCTACCAAGCACAAATTTCCCTACTTTTTGTTTTAAGCAGTATAAAGATAAGAACTTGTAAGCAAAGCTCTTGGAGAATGGCATCATAAGACACAATGATAAGTTTATATGAACACTTAAAACTAGTCAACTATCTGTTATTGTGAATCCCATTGTTTAAAAAAAAACTTCATTTGAAAACCAATCAACTCTCAGCCCACAGCAGTAATGGAGATGGTAGATTGGTATGGCATTGGTATTGGATGGAGATTGGTAAAAAGTTCAATCCTTACAATGATTAAGCCAACAAACTGTTATGTGAGTTGGCTCTATTGTTTCTCTAGCCCAAGCAGCCACTGTCTGTCATTTTTTCTTTCTTTCCTCACACATTTAGTGTGGTTCTAGATACAGTGTATGCATCTCCCTCGTAAAGGTCAGCTAGTGCATTACATTAAACTTTATCTTCTGTGGAGATATTCGGATGTTCACAAAGAAAAGCATAACAGTGATTTACGTTGTAATGGAAACATTCAGAAAGGTGACTGTTGTGTTGGACTATAACAGAAAACGGTACAGCCAACACAGCTTTTCAGGAAAGCAGCAAGGACCTTGAGCAGACAACAGAGAAGCTAAATTGCTTTGAGAAATGTTTCTACATTTAGTTCTATTGACCTGGCAACCACTACCAGTTATATATAAAAATATTTTAAAAATGTTGGCAGCCTGAATTTGCCATCTAGAAAAAAAACTGCTGTCTGTTAGAAAAACTAACCACACTAAATGTGTTGTCAGGAAAAAAACATTTAGTTTACAAAATACCAGCTCAATATTATTGTTTTTTTAAGTTTATCTAAGAAAATAACATTTTATTTTATAATATAGCTGAAATAACTCCTCTATACTTTCCATAACTTTCCAGGGCACGGTCCTCTCACCCTTTCTGTTCAGTCTGTACTTGTCAGACTTCAGGCACAACTCGGACCACTGCCACCTACAGACGTTCTCAGATGATACGGCCAAGCTGACAGCCATCATGGACAACCCCCACCACCCTCTGCATGAAACTACGGGGGTGGGGGGGGGGCTGAGCAGCTCCTTCAGTCAGAGACTTAAACATCCTCGCTGCAGGACGGAGCGCTTCCGTAGGTCATTCATTCCAACTGCAGTTAGACTGTATAACACATCATGATGTTAACAGTCACTTGGACAATTCACCTACACTGGCATCAGTAATATGCACCTGCATATATATTCATTTATGTACTGTACTAGTACATTTAGTACATTGTTATTTATCACGAGTAGTGTTTTTTTGTTTTTCTTTTACTCATCTTCCTTTATTCTATCTCACCCTGTACTGTTTTGAGCTGCTGTAATGTGCAAATTTCCCCACTGTGGGATCAATAAAGTTTTATCTTATCTTATAATGCTTGTCATCTTTGCTCTTAATTTGATGAATAAATTAAATTACTGTTCATAGAGGAAAAGCTTGTTTAAAAGCATAGCTATGCACTTTATCTACTAGAATTCAAAAGAAAAACAATAGTTTATTTTTCCTCACCTACCTACCAACCTATACAGATGACTGATCAACCTCCAAGTTCCTATAAACAGATTTGACCTTGTTGTTTATTCTTTTATTATTGTCACGAATCAATCATAGTCAAAATAAATTGCTCAATCTCAGGATCAACTCTGAAACACTAAAAACGTGGGGTTGGTACCTCTATGAATCTAGCATGTAGCACTGGCCAGGCCATGATCCATGGTCACTTCACTATACAGATGACATTCAACCATGAGAGAACTATAATGATAACTGACAGCTTAAATAACCAGGCTGTTTATCCAATATAGAAAATCACAGCATGTTTTCAACACCAGGGGACTACGTGAAACGACAATGAAATGGATCTTCTGGCACCCCTTTGGGAACCAGCACAGTGGTCTGTTCCAGCACTCCCCAGGCTGTGCGGGCCAACTCACTAATGAGCCCACGGGGGAGCCCCACTCTCTATGTTTAATAGAGTATAGCTTTGCCAGGCACCACACAGAGAAGATGGGAGGAGGTGGTGAAGCAGTGACTGAAAAGGATAATCATACAAGTGGTGAGAAACAAGTTGCTCAACTAAGAAACTCAAATATTAATTCAGGGGAAATACAGGAAACAGAATAAAGGGAGTTATTCTCAATGAATTACATCTCAGGACCTGATTGGTGAAGATTCAAGATCCCTGCATTTTTTAAAAATATGGCACTTTTTTTAAATAAATGCTTCGCAAAACTCGAAAGTCTTGTTTTTCTAATCAATTATAAATAGCTATGTTGGACTTTTTTCTACATTTATAGCAGAAACTCATACTGGATCCAGTGTATTTTCAATAAAACCTTGTCAACGGTCTCATCTCAGCTAGTTTATTATTTATTAACCTTTATTTAACCAAGCAAATCCCAATGAGATCACAGATCTCTTTTGCAAGGGAGGCCTGGGCCTGAAGGCAATCTATGGTGTGTTTTTTTTTTTTTTTTAGTGAGTGGGGGAAACCCATGCAAGCACAAGACCATGCAAACTCTGCACAGAAAGAGATCGAACCCAGGGCCTTCTTGCTGTGTGGCATCAGTGCTAACCACGAGCCATGGTGCTGTTAGTGAAAGGACCCGTCTATTTTGAGGAGGATTTAGATTAGAAAGTAATTTTATTGAATTAAAATTAATGTAAAGTTTGACAGTATCATGAGTTAGCTTGCAGGTGTGCGCACGAAAACATTAACAGCATTTATAAAAAAAATCTGTAAGTTAGGTGAACTGTTGGTGCTGAGTATGAATACAAAAAATACATGTATTTTTAAAATGAATACAACTGTCCAAAATAAAGCCCAGGAGCAATTTGGGGCCATCAGATATTTTTGTGTGGCCCACAACTGCAGTTCAAGTGTGGTTTTAAAAGGCTTGAAAGGCTGATGCAAATTGACATCTTTTTCAAATTTTACAGGCAATACAGTATATGTATTTTCTTAATGATTTGGTGTAAAATAAAACCAGAGAAAAATTATTTCAAAGAGTGCAATGTAAGGTACAATGCAAATTTCACTGCTAATATTGTTTAAATTGTAGAATTAAAAAAATAAAATAAAAAATACAATGT